AACCCAGTCTGGTATGATGTTTCCAAGCCATACAGGGCAGGGGTTCCTCAGGGAGCTTACAGATGTAATCAGCGAGACAACTCTACTACTTAGATCAAAGAGACCAAGAACCTCATTTCCCACTAGGAAGGGCTATTGTTTGTGAGTGGTCCTCTGCATTCTTGGAGTACAAGTATCCAAGCAGTGATAGGAAACACTTCTAGATTTGAGAAATGGTTCCACCAAAATAACAACAGCAGCATCAAAAACTATCCCTGGAAGCTAGAGTTTTCCAGATAGCAAAATACCAGATACCAGGACACCTAGAGATGGGAAGCAGGTGGTATTGCCTGTGGTCCAGAACGTAGATCTGAAACCATATGCTTCATTGTTTTTCCTTAAGGCTCTATTTCACCTTTAAATAAAGCATTTGGAATTTCCCATGCTTCTTGAAAATCCAACGATGTCATAAAACCACATCTTATGTTGGCTTTAGTTGCTAGGCAGTAGAAGGAAGTTCCAGATTCATGCTGCCGTACAGTCGACTCTACAGCACAAAGTGGAAGGCTAGCTGAGTTGTTCAACCAGGAAACAATTAGCTTTTCTGTGAAAGTTGATTTCACAGTTCATCTTAGAATGGAATAAAGGAATCTACTGAAGATTTTCAACTTATTTTTATACACTGAAATCTAAATCTCTTGTCTTTCTGTATGATGAGCCATTTTCAAAATCTGCTGAGAGTTATGAAAATCAGAAAACGCAAGTATAGACACTTCTAAAAATCAAAATTAAAATTGAATACTGAGTCACTTTAATTTGGGGTATGGAAATTCAGAGTCTCTTGGAGTTTCCTCACTGGTACCCTCATAAAATATCTACAGTCTCTCCCCAATACCCAAAATAAGGGGAACTATAATCATTTTATTGTTAAATAATGTCTTATAATGTTACATTTAATTTTTAGATTTTGCTTTCAAATGACTATAGATTAAATGCTTAATGATCCATGTACGAGTAGAAGTAATAAATGTCAATATTTTAGGAGAATAGTTGTGAATTCTATAATTAAATAACAATACAACTAATAATTCATAAGTTGAAGGACAACTTGTCCTTGTCTTGTCTCATTTGGTTTGATCTGAATTTTTACTTGGAAAACTAGTTGACAGACCCGTAGGATCACAAGTTAATGTGTATGTTGACTTTTACATTTTTGTCTGTAAGAGCATCTATTTTCTTCTACGGTCAGAGCCACTGGCAACTTGTGGGCAGCTGAGAAGATTGGAAAGACTGCCTTGTTCTTTGTGTCCCTTGCAGAGCTGAGAAGTTAACCAGTGAAGAGAGACAGCATGTCATGACAGTGAACTCTGTCCTGTGCTGTGCTAAGTACATTAGACAGGACTGGGTGGGAGACATTCTCCCTACATCCTGTACTACTAGAGCACCCAACGGTGTCTCCCGCCTTCTCGGGGAGTTTGTTCTTGGGCAAGTCACGTAAAACAGAAGCAGTGTGGAGGGTTTAGGTCTGGGATGATGACTTTATATGCAAAATGTGTCAACACATATGCTTTTTCCACTGAGACACAAACTCCAAGGCGTGGCCAAAATATAAGATAAAAGAAAGCCAAACTCAAGAGCAGTGTGCAAAGCAGGCACCCAGCAGCCATTTGGCCACTCCCTGTCCTTTCTGGTCATTCTCCGACCTTCTGCCCCATTCCTGCTCTTTGCTTTCTGTGTATTAAGTGATAGCCGAGCTAAAATCATTTCACTTTTCTTCCCTCTTCCGCTTTCCCTGAAGCCCGACTCTTTCCAGGCATCGCAGGCTTTCAGTTCTCCAGCTCAGCTGGCCAGATCGGAAAGAAACTGTAAACCATTGATTGTTTCCTCTGTCCTTCAGACAGTTCTTGATACATTATTTTTTTAAAAAAAAATCTTGCAATTCTTGTAAAAAAAATTGGTTCTGGGGCTATGGCTCAGTGGTTAAGAGCACCAGCTACTCTTGCAAAGGGCCTGGGTTCAGTTCCCAGCACCCACGTGGCGGGTAACAGCTCTCTTTATCTCCAGTTCCAGAAGATCCAACAAACTTTTTCTGACCTTCAAAGGCATTGAACACATCGATGCATTTATATACATGTGCACAAAACAAACACATTAAATAAAAATAAATAAATTCAGGGCCGGAGAGATGCCTCAGTGTTTAAGAACACTGGTGCTTTTGCAGAGAACCTGGGTTTGAATCCCAGCATCCACATGGCAGCTAACAACCATCCATAACTCCAGTTTCAGGGGATCCAACTCTTTCTTCTGACCTCCATAGGCATTGCACATCACGGGTGCACCTACATACATGCAGGCAATCCACTCATACACATAAAATAAAAATAATTATAAAATATTTTAAATAGAATATTTGTGAGGACTGGAGAGATGGCTCCATGGTTAAGAGCACTGACTGCTCTTGCAGAGGACCCGGGTTCGATTGCCAGCACCTACATGGCCACTAACAACCGTCTCTAACTCCAGTTCCAGAGGAATTCAACACCCTCTTCTGAGCTTCACGGGCATTGCACAACAGGTGCACTTACACACATGCTGGCAATACATTCATACACATAAAATTAATAAGTAAAATACGTTTTAAAAAGAATCTTCACTTCTCTATATGGTTATAATCACCACTATAAGGTAGTCTCTTATTTCTCCTCCTCCCCCTCCTCCTCTTCCTCCCCTTCCTCCTCTCCCTCCTCCTCCCCCTCCTCATCTTCCTCCTCTCCCTCCTCCTCTCCCTCCTCCTCTTCCTTCCTTTCTCTCTCTCTCTCTCTTTCCTCCTCTCTTCCTTTCTTCCTTTTTTTGAATTCACTATGTAGCCCATCCCACATTGTCCTCAATCTCACTGAAAACAGCCTGCCTCTGCCTCTGGAGGACTGGGATTTAAAGGCATGTGTCACCCCACCCAGCAAGACTTCTTATCCAATCAAGAAAAAAGCAGTTTAATGGGGTTGATTGCACTCAACCTGCTCTGTCACATCCTGGATAAGGGTATTAACGATGCTGTATCTTTTCATGCAATTCATTCTTAGATTACCTTCTGGATTGTTTCTCACATCTTTGCTCCTCATCCCTCCTCCCCCTCCTCCTCTCCCTCTATCATTTCCTTTTCCTTCTTTGCATCCTCTCTGTCTCTCCACCCTATTTTTCACCTCCCTCCCTCCTTCCCTCTCTTTCTTGGGGTCTCGTCCCTCCTCTCTCCCTGCCTTCCTCTCTGCAACGTCCCTCCCTGTTCCCTTGCTTTCTTCTTTGTCCCCTTTTGAAAGGCTTCACATGCAAGCTCTGTGATGTAATGCAGAGAAAGTGCTGGGGCACTGATGAATGCTCACAGAACATTAGGGCTGTACAAAGTGCTGAAAATTATTGATTTCAGCCTTGTTTAGCAGAGGAGAAAATGGAATGTCATGTAAAGCACTTACATATAAATCCATAACCTCCACATAACACTATTTCATATCCTTATTCTGCAGGCAATCTGTGCATTTTTGAAATCTGTTTTTATAAGACGGAGTTTGTTGTTCACTCAGACTGGTCTGGTGCTCACTCTGTAGCCCAGGTTGGCCTTGAACTCTGAGCAATTCTCCTGTCTCTGCCTCCCGAGTCCTGGGATTACAGGCATTAAGACCCCACACTTGGCTTTAATTCCTTTTATTCTTATCAGAATATTAATATCCTAAGGGTGAGATTACTATCTTCCTCTTGCTTTGCACTAAGTTGGCATTTAATGTCTGAAACAAGAAACACTTCCTGCTAAGGGAAGGCTGTGCTTATTCTTTTGTTTACTGCTGCACCCTTAAGAGTTAGTCCTGTGTTCAGGGAAACACAACTGAACCACACACGTCTGGTGGTGTTGTCAATGTCGGTCTCTCTGTCCCTGTTTTCTCTCTTTTTCTCCTCTTTCTCTCTGTCTCTGTCTGTCTCTGTCTGTCTCTGTCTGTCTCTCTCTGTCTCCCTCTCTCTTTCTCCCTCTTGATCTGTGGATATGTGTGTGTGTGTCCATGTGTATTTGTGAATCAGGTGCCTTTCTGTCAGTGGTAGCTCTCTAATCATACTTCTGGTGGTTGTTGATGACACAAAGATGTGAGTACTGTGCTTCACAGATCACTAGGTGGAGATGTAACCCTACCAGCCTCCTGAGTCTGGGGTGGAAGGCTCACAGGCTCGTAGCCTGGCATTGTCTGAACTTCTATTTTGTTGTCACGAGTAAGGGAGTAGGGGAAGAGGGTTTGAGGTCAGCCTGGGCTATAGGGTGAGTAGGAGAGGGGATTAAGTAGAGGTCAGAGATGCTGATAGAGCACAACAAAGAATTATACAATATAATATGTAAATAGATTCCAGGTTAACAAATCCCGGGAAACAAATGGGCTGTAAAATATGTTGCAAGAAGAAAGTTATCCTGTACAACTTTTAAGGACAAAGAAATCTTTTTCCCCAACTTTCATGCTCTCCTTGACCTCTATAACCATTTTGTTCCCAACACATGGTGACTTTAGACCCAGCAACGTCCTCCCAGCAGAGCCCAAACAACTGCTGCTCTTGGAGAGAGAATATTGCAAGGAGCAAGGGGCCGAGGGTTTTTTAAAGATCCAGCAACACGGGCATGCGCTTATCCTTGAATTCAAGCATTTTAAGTGGCTGAAGATAGTTTGAGGGTGTGGTCTCAAATTAGTCAATCTCATGTCTATTCTTGAGAAGTCACAGAGCCCCTGAGCATTAACCAGACATCCAGGATTGAGTAGGATGGCCCTGCCTTACTGTGAAGAGAAAAAAAAATCTCCAGAAAAAGGAAATCAGTCTCCCTGTGTAACAGCAGCCTAGAAAGGAGAGTGGGGGCAGAAGGCGTGGCCAGCTCCTGGGGGCTGGAGACAGCTGCTGATGCAACAAAGAAGGTCACAACGGCATGTGTGTGACAGCAGCCTAGAAAGGAGAGTCGGGGCAGAAGGCGTGGCCAGTTCCTGGGGGCTGGAGACAGCTGCTGATGCAACAAAGAAGGTCACAACGGCATCCCGGCATCCCGGAGCAATAGGCCAACCCCACTCAATTCAAGCCTTCTCTAGAAATTCCAGCACACATTTGAAAGGAGCAAAATGCACAAGAATTCTTTAAGGAGATCCTGAGAAGAGGAGATCACCTCAGGCTGCGACTTCATAGCCATAGTGCAGAGTGCAGCCTGGTCCAATAGCTGCTGTGGAATCTGAGCTAGCACCTTGTCTTACCTGGACTGCTCTGTCCCTACCATGGTATCTAGGCTCCTCTGTTGTGTGGTCTTTTGCCTCTTGGGAGCAGGTGAGTTCCTGAAATATAATTCTGTTTGAGTTCTTTCAGCATACCTATTTCCCGAGATTTTCCCAACTTCTGCTTACTTCTTTCATAGGCCCCTTGGAGACAACTGTTGTCCAGACTCCAAAATATCTTGTCACACAGGTGGGAAAGAAAGCATCTCTCGAGTGTAAACAAAATCTGGGCCACAATGCTATGTACTGGTACAAGCAAGACTCCAAGCGATTGCTGAAGATTATGTTTAACTACAGTAATAAGGACCTAATTTTAAATGAAACAGTTCCAAGCCGCTTCTCACCTCAAACTTCAGGCAAGGATCATTTAAATCTTGAAGTCACGTCTGTGGCACCAGAGGACTCTGCTGTGTATTTCTGTGCCAGCAGTCAAGGCACAGCCTTGCAGAGTCACTGCTTCCCTGTGCACAAACCCAGCCAACCAGGAAGATGTGGGGGACACGTGCTCTCCTGCACCCGAGCCTCCAGTCTCCCGTTCTCTGGGGACTCTGGTGGAGTTTCAATCTAGAGTCTAGCCTTCTATATGAGGGAGTACAGTGGATGGAGCAGTCCTGCATTTTATGCACACATTAGCCTTATAGGTTTCTACTTGTTAGCTAGAGTGGAGACTCACGACAAAGTCACTCCCAATAGGCTCTGCACACAGTGAAGGACCTTGAAGATCTTAACTGAGAGAAGCCGTTGCGTGTGGTTTTCTGCTATGTATATTAGCACATGTTGCCTATAACATTAGGATTGAAGGCCTGTGATGTCTATGAATATTTGAGGAGCATGAACCTAAAAGACAGAAGAAGGCGAATGACTGTAAAGACCCCCGGGGAATTCGGATAATGACTGTGCTATCTGCTTTAAGAGGAAGCAATATTTGAAGATGCATGGAAGTCCATGGTCATAGCAAACTAGAAAAAAAAATGTGAGAGAAGTGATTTGAGCCAGGCTTGTACACTGAAGTCCCGCTCTTCAAGAGGATGACTGTCAAGTTCGTCCCTATTCTACCATCTTTCAACTTTCTCTGAAAACAGGCAGAAGTTAGGTGGTGGAAGGCAGGAAGAGACATGTAGAAGACATTAGCTACACACCTGCAGTAGTTAACTGCTGGTCCTGCTTTAAGCGAGGTATAATGATCAAACTTGTAATTTGGTACGGAACACAAGGACACGGGTTGGCAGGTTAAGAATGAGTGACAGAGACAAAATGTTCTAAAAGAAACGTGATAAAGCACTTTACGTGGGGCACCGTTAGGGATATAATGTGGGAGTTCAGGATCGCTATTTTCTTGTAGCTAGTACTCTTTATCTCAGTGGTTTGAATGCAAGATTTCCTGGTTCGCCATTGCCCTCCCTTTTTGGGAGCCCTTAGCATGTGGCCACTGTGCCAGTTAACAGCCTTCAGTAGAAACCACAGCAAAGTCACTCATGTCTCTTCTGCCTGGTAGGATCAGAATGCTAGCATCTTCCAGACCTGGATGTCTGCTGAAATCTCTGCTTCCTTCTCTAGCCTTCTAGAACTTGTTCTTCACTCTGCTTTCAAACACAACTTAATAGTGTTCCAGGAAAAAAGAAAGAACGATAGTTTCCTTGTACATAGTCCTGGGGCTTCTTTTTAGTACTCTGTACCCCAAATTCCAGCTGTCTTAGAATTGCGTTATCAAACACTGTGTACCATTATTATTTTATGTAATCATGTCTGTTATAACATGATAGCTTTAACTTGCTTCACAAAAACCATTTGGCTCTTCCCTCTTCTTTTTTTAAAAAATATTATTTATTAGTTTACTTTTATTTTATGTGTATGAGTGTATCGTCAGCATGGTCTAAGTGCACCTTGCCATGCAATGCACACAGAGGTCAGAAGAGAGTGTTGGAGTCCCTGGAACCAGAATCCCAAACTTCACTGAGCTGGGAATTGAACCCGTGTCCTCTGCAAGAGCAACCAGTTCTCTTAACCACTGAGCCATTTCTCTAACCCTTCATTCTTCTAAGAAGTCAGTCCTAAAATACTATTCCTTCTTCAGGTAGGTTCTTGGTTTAAATAAATTAATCTCAATATATTAGTTATTTTTCTGTTGCTGTGATAAAAAACCATGACTAAGGCAACTTATGAAAGAAAGAATTATTTGGCTTTCAGTTCCAAAGGGATAAGAATCCATCATGGCAGAGAGGCATGGCCACAGAGGCAGCTGGAACAGAATGCTGTGAGCTCATGTCTTCAAGCGGGTATAGGAAGCAGAGAGAAAAACTCAAAATGGGACATGGTTATGAACTCTCAAAGTCCACCCCAGTGAGGAGCATCCTGCACCATGGGCACACCTCCTAGGGATTCCATGGCCCTCCCCAAACAGTGCCACCAACTGGGGCCAAGTACTCAAATACTTGTAGTCTATGGGGGATATTCTCATTCAAACCACCACATACTTACTTTTTGGTTGCTATGATAAAACACCATGACAAAGGCCATTATAGAAGGAAGCGTTTATTTGGTTTAGAGTTCCAGAGGCATAAGGATCCATCACAGGGGGATTCCACGGCCCTCCCCAAACAGTGCCACCAACTGGGGCCAAGTATTCAAATACTTGTAGTCTATGGGGGATATTCTCATTCAAACCACCACATACTTACTTTTTGGTTGCTATGATAAAACACCATGACAAAGGCCATTATAGAAGGAAGCGTTTATTTGGTTTAGAGTTCCAGAGGCATAAGGATCCATCACAGCTGGAGAGGCATGGCAGGAAACAGGAAGAGCAGAAGGCTGAGCAGTCACATCTTCAAGCATGTGCAGGAAGCAGAGAGATAGACTGGAAATGGGACTTGGCAAAGAACTCTCAAAGCCCACCCCAAGTGATGTGATTCCTCCAACAGGACCACATCTCCTAAACCTCAACACAGCTCTACCAACTGGGGACAAAGTATTCAAACATTTTGCGCATGTCGGGGCCATTCTCATTCAAACCACCACACTCACGTGAGTGAGACAGAGGCAAGAGACAGTGAGCAAGTAGAGGATGGGAAAGGAGGGAAGCTTACTCATCTGGATTCATTGTTACCAGGTGGGCATTTTTATCAGTTGTAGACATCTCGAAGACACTGATATCAATTTCTAATTAAGTTGAATTTGTCTTATGTACAGTATCTTGTGTACAGTATCTTTCCTCTAAGTCTAGGCAAGTTCCATGCTCTCAGCAGCATAGCTCATCCATTGTATCCTCCCTTGAGTGTTCTCCTCAGTGTCTGGCTTCTGGATGGCATCGCAGTCATGCACCTTGGATGATGATGGAGCATCCAGAATGGAGTCATCATCATCTGATCATCCTCATTCCACAAATCTGGGCAACCAAACTTAGACATGAAGAGAAGCAACATTTTGAGGGTGCTGTCTCCTGAGACTGAGGAGGGGAGGATGGAGATCTTTTCAGGGGGAAATGGTCTGTGTCAGGCAGGGTCCTTGAAGATTATGGTGGGGGAAGATCTGTACAGTGAGGGGGGAGCAACTGCCAGGAATGTTTCTGAGGCTTGAAATGTTGGCTAGGCTTCTTTTGTATTCATTCTTATTCAACAAAGGCCAGGTCAATGCAAATTCACCTTCTACAAGAATCTGAATTGACTGTAAAAGAGGTGAAATGAACATCTTTTGTCGCTGAGGAAGCTACCAAAAATGGTGACATCACAGGGAAAACCACCAACCAGGGCCACGCAGAATGCAGCCCAGCCCTCATCCAGGGCATCTTCGTTAAACAATACCTCTCTGGGACCTGACTCCATCATTGTATGTTCCTCTGTCTCCTAGGGACAGGTGGGTCTTGGATTCAACAGACTCTTTTTTTTATGTCACAAAATAGCCTTTAATGTCTCCCTCTCACAACATATTACTGCCTGAATTAGAGCTGGCACACAACTCCCCAGGACTGGCTTACTGTGAGGAATGAAAGTGGCAGCCCCCTCACCCCCACTGCTGTGCAGCTGGAACAGCCCCAGGCACCAAGCTTAGTATAAACTCAGGAGTCCAAATACCCATATCTGCTGTCTCCCAGCTTTGGAATTCTGGAACCAAGAATTCCAAGACGCTATTGTGCTGTCTCTGTGTGCTGTCTGTCTCTGTGTGGACTGATTCCTACCCATCGCCACCCCCGCTACTAAGCACCAAGCTTAGTATAAACTCCGGAGTTCAAATACCCATATCTGCTGTCTCCCGGCTTTGGAATTCTGGAACCAGTAGTGTAGATTCCGTGTATGCCAACTACAGCAGACGCTACTGTGCTGTCTCTGTGTGCTGTCTGTCTCTGTGTGGACTGATTCCTACCCATCCTCTTCTGCTGTCCACTTGTGAGGTACTAAGGAGTAACTTGCTGCTGCAGGCCTTCAGCTCCTATCACTGCAGGCTTGAGTCCTCTGTTCTGTTTGGTATTTGCTTTAGACTGCTTAGAAGTGTGACCCACACTAATGTGACCGGTTTTATCCAGAGTATTCTTAGAAGTCATTTCTTCCCTGTTTCTTCCCATATGGTGGCTCTTTTTTTAATATCCATCACAGTAGGACAATTCTGAAGACTGTACTTAGGGTGAGGATAGGAGTCTGTCTCCTCCCTATACTCTGCCAGTCTTTGCCATGTTCACTTCTTCTTTAACATGCTCATCTGCATGTGCACAACTCTGGAAGGTTCTTCTTGTATGAAGAGTGGAAACATTTCCTAATTCATGGAATCATTCCTTTCATTAAGTGATGTTCAAACTGCAGACTGGCCTCTACCTTCCCAGATGTCTTCCCGTTGCTTGGCTTCCAACCGTTTTCTCTCTGTAAATAAAGAGCAGTGTTAATCACATGATTGTTTATTTCACACAGCCAGTAATTGTGGCCTGTGACAAGGGGTGGATCTTCACCACGGTATGTTTAATACCCAAAGCATCACGAGCTGTAATTGGACTGGCGAATACTCCTAGTGCATGTGTATCATCTACCCATTTAACATCAAATCCTTGCTTTTGGTAACTACAAAAACCCGTAGAAGATCTTCTATACGGAATTCTTGAAAAAAGTCATAAATTTCGATGACATGCTGGAATTCACATTTGCTGAGGTCAATATCAGGAACTTCATGGCCGTAACAATCATGTCTTGGCTCCTGGATGCCGTCTCTGTTCATACTCCCTGATAACTCTTGTTGAAGACGTGGATCCACATAGTCACCATCATCATCGAGCAGAGACTCCCAACGCTCCTCAGTAGCAATACTTCCTTGTATGGAAGAAGTTTCCGTTGCTTTTATTTCTATGGATGTTTCCAAGGTTGAATCTCTATCAGAAAATGATGTATCGCTTTCTTGAGTCATCTTCCTCTTTTGTTTGAAAGTCTCCAGGAGTTCTTAGTACATTCAGTGCCTCTGTTATATCACCAGTACTATCCGGATCACTGCCTAAGGCACTCTCCAAAAGCACTGCTGTCCCATTTGACACACTCAGTTCAGTATCCAAAAAGTGTTACAATAACTATCAGCAATCTTCTTTATAGGCAA